TGTCATTACAGCCCTCACACGGGCTGCAACCATGTGATATGTGAGAGTTGGCTCCAGCTGTGAAGCCACAGCTTCACACCAATGTCCACTGCCCCACTAATGACTCCATCATGTCCCCATTGTAAACACATAAACAAGAACCATGCCTGCTTCTTCTCTGGTGGGATTCTTCTAATTCTTAAGATTACTGTTTGTACCACAGAGATGCTGCAATTTCAGTTTGTCTATTCTTGAAAAACAAAAAAACAAACACTTTCTATCTCGCCCTCTGGGGACATTCCATGTGCTATAAATAGCAGAAGAGGAAACAGAAAGATTGACCTAAAGGACATTAAATATCACCATCTGTAAAAGGTATTTGTAACACTTGAGAATTTATTTTTTACACAACTATAAGCTGACAAACAGAGGTTTAACTGGATTCTCTTTCTTGCCGGAAAGCTTTAAATCTTGGATTAAAATTATTCTGGTTTTTAAAGCTTGGATTAGAACAAAAATGGGCCTCGGAGGAGAATGTTAATTTTCTTTCTTAGTGACAGCCAAAATGTGATGACAGGATAGCTGTGGATTAATCACAAATAATCATGATTAACTGAGTTAAATCAACATTTCTAACCTGAAGGTTCGTTGGTGAAATGAAAACATTTTCATCTGAAATGTCTAGTAATTGGAAAAAAAATGTCTCTGGGGTCGTTAAAAGGCCATAAAGGGTTGAGAACCAATGGTGTAGTATCTCTGGAACAACAGTAGTTGGACAACTGGATATTTGCAGTATGTATACTGAGAAGTACTCTTGGTCCCAGCAGGTGTAAGTTACCACCTGTGTGAATGTTGATGACATTCAAACAGCTTCAGGTGGAGATGGGACGACCTACGGATGGCAGTTCTCAGGAGGCTACAACGCACCATTGTTTCTGAACAATAGACGTGGACAAGGAAACTTTTCATATTCCTACTAATGGAAAGAGCTGAATAGTATCACGCAGGCATTTGCTACGAACTGGAACACACCTGGCAGAAGCACACAAACAAAGCAACAAAGGCGCAATTAGAAGGTCCTGCGTTTTCTCAGGCTCCACAACACAGGGAATGGCCGCTGACATGTTGTACTCCAGGCGTCATTTTGTCACAGCACTCTCTCAGACGAGCAGCACCGCCCTGATTCCACTCTCCCACAAGAACACGTTCCCATAGGGAAGACACATGGAGCCACTGGAAAACTTTACGCAGCCTTGACTTGGTCACAAACACACATCCACCCTAAAACATCACTGGGTGTCAGTGATTGATGTGTGACCCAGAAAATGAACCCCCCCTCCACGAACCCTCTCCCTACATCTCTCCCCCCTTTTTCCATTTCTACGTCATGCAAATCATCCGTATTCATCAGTGCTGACCTGACCATAGACGAGGGGTTTGAGCTCCGCTCTCTGTCACCAGGTCATAGCATATATCACTATAAAGCTCCAACATCACTGTCCGTTGTCGTACTACTCCACATCCAGACACATCATCGACTCTGTCAAACAAGTGGAATTGTATTTGTTCCTGACCACGGGGCGACTCTGGACAGGAGCCCACTTTTTATTCTCTGTTGTTTTAGTAAATGGACTTGTTGAGTTGTGTCCAGACACTTCAAAACCGCTTTAATGTCCAGGCCTTTGTTATCTGGAAACTCTTAGCAGATGTTTGTGAAATTGTGCACATAATTCATGATTTCATAGAAGATGAAATCAGCATCTATTATCATTGAAGTACCAGGCAAAAACACAGATGCAAAAAAACCCATTCTAAT